ATTATTATTATTATTATTATTATTATTATTGGCCATTAATAAATATTTTTATTTACTAAAATGTAACAATAATTGCTCCATTCAAATAAACCAAATTAACAACTCTTATTGGAACGTGCGCACTGGAAGACAACCGGAAACAAATAAATTAATGTTACTGAGGCTGATGTGACGATAAATCATGAGTTGTTTTCTCCTGCCAGTAACACTTTATGACTGCGTGCTCTAATGTTGGTCAGTGGTTTCTAATCAATTCGTACAAARAGCTGCGTTAAAATCTCCTAATGATTCCTTGAGTGGCAGCAGGAAACAGAGTCGGCGCTGAACGACGTGGATTACTTATCAAATCATTTCCAGGCTGTAAATCTGATTTCTCTTTCAACAAACTAGCTTGTGTTTGTTTTTTAGATTTATCTCTCTGAGCAACATTAGCACACATGAAATGGAAAATTGAAGAAAAAGATTTTGTGTCGAGTTGATTAAGGTTCATGTCTTCTGTTTTAAAAACCAGAATCAGTCACATTTTAAAACAAACTGTTGGTCTAATTAAATGTCCAGTCAGAAGGTTTTACTTTTGTTTTTATTCCAGAAAACTTTATAAAGTCTCCTTTGTGTTTCAGGAGTTTTGTCCAGTTAACATGAAACTTCTTTGTCCAAACAGAATCGCAGCCACCCAGGAGCAGCTGAAACTCCGGCTTTGTTTTCAGTCAGTGGCTTTATGAGCTCACATTACCCTACATTATTCAGCTCCAGCTGCAGTCATCCTCCCCGTTTTTTTGTTCTGTCTGGACTTAACTTCCTTTTCTTTGTTTCTCCTTTTATTTCGTCACTCATCAGCTTTAGGCTCGTTTGGTTTGTCTGTTAAAATACAGCAACTTGTCTTTATCACAGCAGAGACGGACACATTCATTTCATGTTAGCTTGTAGCTAAAAATGAGTCTCATGATGTATTTTGCACACTGGCTCATTTGCGTAGTAGAAAATTTGAATGAGTCCCTGAATGGTTCTGATACCTGGAATCAGATCTACATCCAGCTGAACCTGCAGCTGAGAAGTGTTGGAAGACTTTGACTCAGATTATTTGGTTTTAATGTTTCGACATTTAGCTTAATCTTTTTTTCTTTTTTTTTTTTTTTTTTTTTTTTTTTTTT